AGTCCACCTTCCCTGATTCGTGTTGCAGAGAGTTGTCCCAACAGGACGATGAATTAATAACATTTCTGAACACCGCCTCCCCCCCCCCCCCCTTCTCTTCTGCTCTTCCACAACGAGGGGCCAAATCTCTTCAGCATTTCCAGCCCTGTGAGCTAATTTGACAGCTCACGGGGGTGACGCTGATTCCACTTCGCAAAAACAGGTACCCTAGGGCTAGCCAGCTGGATCGCAGCGGATGCTTACAGATTTGGCTTTAGCTTCATGCTGGGTGTCATCTGTCTCTTTGGTCTGGCGCGGGATAATTTTTGTGTATGTGTGCGGATGTGTCTGTGTGTGTGTGTGTGTGTGTGTGTGTGTGTGTGTGTGTGTGTGTGTGTGTGTGTGTGTGTGTGTGTGTGTGTCCGCCCTGACATCATGTGCCTGAGCAGTTTGTGCCTGGCAGGCCTTGTCTGTCCAGGTTGGCCATCAAACACAGCCAGCGTGGCCCTAATCTGACGAGGCACTGCTCCAAACATGCCACAGCAGCCTGAGAAGTGTGTGCGTGTGTGTGACCCCAGGGCAGACCCCCCTTTTTTTTTTTTTGCTACAACTTGCCTTCCTCCTCTGCTCCGTCCCATGTCGAACATCACCGAACACACACACACACACACACACACACACACACACTAACTGGGAAAAAACTTCAAAAAGCATCAAGTTGAGCTCGGTCGACGCTCACGCTCAACTCCTCTGTGCGTGTGCGGATGTGCATGCGTGTGCGTGTGTGTGTCCTCACAGGTGAACGTGTTCGGGTCTCAAACGCTGCGGCCAGCAGAGGAATTTCCGCTCACCGCAAACGGAGCGATATCCTCGCCCAGCGCTCCTTCCCACGCCGCAGACTGTCACTTACATCGTGGGCACTTTGCGGGACGCTCTGCCTCAACAGGTTTGAGGCCTCCTCCCCCTGCCCCGTCCACCCTCCCCCGCCTGTTGCCCTCGGTCGACTTCGACACTGCCTCTCGGAAAAAGAGGCGACCCCCCCCCTCCCTGTGTTTCGGACGGTCGAGGACACGGGGGACAGACCCCCTATGGGAGAAATGACAGTGCGGTTCCCGTTAATCACGGGACGAGCCCCGCCCCCCCCCCTCCCCGAAATGGCGACGGGGGGCCTGCCGTGTACACTAATCCTAGCTGACACACTACCCCCCCCCGCCCCGCACACACACTTCCAGTCCCCCCTCAATGCCTCGGTGCCGATCTGGAGCTCCATGGATGAGGGGCAGTCATCGCAAGATCAGCCTGACAAGGTTTCGCCCGTTTTTCGCTGTGAAAGAGAAATATCTTCCCTTCCCTGAAAAGCGCGGGATGATGAGTACATATGTTGATTTTCATGCTGTGAGCCATGTTCCGCCACTGTGTTTTCCCATCAGGCCGTGGGTCAGAGTGGCAGCAGGATGGTGTCACGCTACACAGCGACTGCATAAAGGCCTTCGGTGGGTCTATTTGGGTCCCCACCTTTCCGCTGCACTCCGTTCTTCAAGTGTTTGCTGTATCTTTTACTCTATTTTCTGCTTTTGCCCCCACCGGCCACCTCTTCTCCATGGTGGACGGCTCCGGAGAACCGCCTTCCAGCAGGTGGAGCGGGACCTCCACCGGCGCTGTGGTGCCGGGACAAACGACCTGCTTGCAGCCCAGGGACTGAGAGAGAGAGAGAGATGGGCAGAAGCTGGGTAGGTGAGCTGCAGGGGGGGCAGCAGGTCTTCTCCTAGCACCCCTCCACCCCCGTCTTCCCTTTGGCCCAGAGGCCTCGGAGTCCAGCTAGTAGCACCGGCCCTCCTTCCCTTCTCTTCCCTTGCCATGAAGCACCCCCACCTGTTCAGAGCCACGGTGCAGTGAGCGGCGTTCAGCGTGTTGTGAACACAAAGCAGCGGCTCTCCGGCCCTCCGGCCCCTGCGCCTGGACCTCGGTGTCGTGTAGAGAGACAGAGAGAGAGAATGGAAAATGCAGAATAATTATACCCGGTGGGTAATGTGAGCGCCGACGTTACAGAGACGCTGTGGTCCAGCCGGGGAGGAGAGAGACACGGAGACAAGAGCGTCGCCGGGGCGACCTCACGGGGCCGGTGGGCATGTTTGGTAAACCTCAATCACAGACCTCCCACTGGCGGCTATGAGGAAGTGCTGCAGGAGACCATCTGGATACTGGCTGGGATGTACGCGCTGGGAGAGGGGACGGGGGGACGGGGAAGGGGGGGGGGGGGGCACGGCTGCTTTGTGCACTGTGTACAGATATAATGTTTAAGTGTAATAAAAATATGAGGGAGACATAGGGGGTCTTATATGACATGGAAAAAAGGGTATCTGGGATAGCGGGTACTGTGCAGACATGATCAGGTCCAGAACCCACAATAATAAAGTTATCTTAAGTACTAGCCTCTGTAATAGGAAATACTAGGATACATGTGTATATATAATATGTTATGCATTTAAGATTATTTCACTCCACTCGTATTTCCTTACCAAACTAACACAATCTCATTTGCAGAGCTTCATAATATTAATACTAGATACAAAAATAGTAATGATTAGATTTTCAAAATACACAATAACATTCCATTAGTCAACAAATACTATCATGCTCTACGGTAAGGAAGTATTGTTGCTGCATTGCACTAAACAGAAACGGTTTAATTGAAACTATCAGTTAAGGCTTTTAGGTCGGAACAGAATTTAGTTGATGCCTTTTCATTTAACGTAGAAAGCTACTGAGAAAACGGCCTATTTACCACATAAGTTTCAAATCAGTTTGATAACTTTGAAAATGTTCTTTCCCCTTTAAGTGACAATTTTGGAGAGTGTCCTAGAAAGGCGCAGAGGTGTCAAAGAAAAAGTAGAATTCAGTTAATAGACCAGCGGGACACGAGTACAAGGAAATACGTGATCTGCCTTCATGTAACAAGCATGCAGAATGCAGCCGAGCATCAGGAGGACAGATATTTCCTCGTTATGTTGATGTCGGCTTTGCCCTCCAAATTCTATAAAGCTCAACTTTAGACAAAACGTTTAAACTTTTTTTCTCCCACAAGAATAGGACCAAAATGTATTTCCAGCCCCATGTTAAGTGAGCAACATCTAATTTAAAGTGCTTTTAAATATTGTTTTTTTCAAAATAATAGATGGATACATTTGGGATAATATACTATCATAATTACTACTGTTGTTGTTGTTGTTGTTGTTGTTATTATTATTATAATTTGTATCATTGGGTCTAAAAACTAGATTTATTGTTTTACATAATTGTCTTATTCCAAAATGTAACAGTTTCACTGATCTACAAAATATATAACATACAGTATCTCTTTAAAATATTCAATTTTATGTTATTATTGGAAACCACAAACTGGATTTCTATGTTACTCAGTTTTTCTAAATATGGTAATGATTACTAGCCCATGCAGCCTTTCTCCGAGATCATTTGAATGTTTTTAATTTCCCTCTGCAGATTCATGAATAAACCAAACAACAGGATGCACGAGCCCGTCACGGAGGTCTTTTCTGGATCTGACATGTTCTGTTGTCAGAGATCCTCTCGTGCGTCTTCAGACACACATGAGGCTGCAGCGAAGGGCTTCTTTTTATCCCTCGGCTGTTGATCAATCATTTAATCTTCTTAATAGGGCCAAATCAAAACTAATGGTGCATGTAATATGTGTTTAACTAAACAATGTGGACAGTGGGGGACGTAAGTGGTGCCTTAATGACTTTCTCTTGCCTGAGCATGACAGTCCTAATGAATTCAGGGCTCGTAAACAAACTTTTGACAACTAATATGCTACATTTGCCCCAAACATTGCCTCTTCTCACCCCCGCTGAATAACTGCATGTACTTTGCTCTCACCGAAAGGGCTGTTTTTTATTAAAACATTCATGCCAATATATTTACATTTCATAATGTGTAACAAAAGCCTTTGCTAAAATAATTCAGTCACAGAGGTTCAACCTGTGTGTTAAAAACTCATGTGAGACATTTGGTGCCATCTTGTGGTGACTGTGGTGTTTTCAAAGAAACATAATATAAATGTTCTCATCTAACCTACTGTATGTAGATAATTCCAATATAAAGACTTCTTGATGAATGCAAGTTGTACTTAAGCAACTGCAAATACACGCGTATATGTCCCAACTCAGAAGTCAGTCTTTAGAAGTTAGCCATTTGTCTTGGTATAGGGCCTGAAGTGTTTAATAATTATTATACAATTATTACAATCGTCCTTCTACGATGAGTTTTTAATAATCATCAATTTATGCTTTACATATACGTTAAAATAAATTTATAATCTCATTTTATGGTTGCCATGTTTTAAGAAATGCTTAATAAACCATTAAGTATAGAGTTAAAAACACCAGCTACTGGGATTTTTCACAACCTGGCAACTTCAAAGATATTCTTATTAATGGCTATAATTGATAAAGCATTCATAAATTAGCCCAAAACCGTGGGTAGACCATTAGTTGCCATGTGTTGATTACGTAAAATGACTATGATTGAAATTACCCAATTGGGGAAAAGTTCACACAGAATTGGGAATAATATACTGTATACTGTTAAATCAATAAGTCAGGATAAAACGTATGAGTTTATATGTAATTAAACATATCATTGCATACTTAATAATTGCACAGTTGGATGTTTTCTGAATAAACAAGTAACGTGTGGCATTGAGTTTAAAAAGTAGGTTCTTGCATCACTTTGTTCCGCAGAGCAAGACTGACATCTGCTGTCCTCCGTCACCCAAACATTTAGACACAAGCACGCGCACACATGATCTTTTGCCCAATTTTCAAACTTGTCTTGAGCTAATGTGCAGATGAGCTGCAGATGAGCTCAAAAAGACCCAAGACAGAATTTCGGACTAGTTTTTTTTTTTTTTTTAATGATCGCAAGAGTCGCCCTCCACGTATTAGGGTGGATGGGACACCCCTCTCCAACTGACTTGGTTCAGTCCACAGCCTTGCACCCGGAAGTAGTAGTAAATATTTACTCAGCTGACTTCCATTCACATGACCACAATTAGCAAAAGACCAGTGCAGTTTTCTTGTTAGAATCACATCGTAGCTTGTATGGATTACTGTATAATTAAAATATAACCTACATTGATGACAAGTAGTTTAGGTCAGCTAAAAAGCTCCTTCGCTTTCACTAGCGAGACCAGCTAGCTTAGCATTTGAGACATTCAGGGCTAGCAAGCGAATAGCAGCCGGTTGAGCTAGCTGCTCCACAGGAGACACAACTTGCAATCAAAGAGTCAGCAGAGTTTGTACCGATGGACAAGGTGGCTAAAGGTGAGCGTCACTGTTTACCTTTAATCCTCTGACCTTTTCCAGCGTGCAGGTTATGAACAGCACAACATCACAAGAAAGGAGTTATTCTGCTGATGGTCCTCATCACTACTTCTTTGTAATACTGTTACTGTAAAAATGTTGCATCCTGTGTCGTTTGTGTTGAAACTGACTGTAATGCGAGTGGTTTGGTGTTGCAGATGTGGGGGACATCCAGTCACGGCTGTTGGACCACAGACCGATCATCAATGCAGAGGTCCGATACTTTGTGAGAGAGTTTGAGGTACTTGTCATGAGCGTGACACTTACGTCTTATTCACGGGGCTGCAGACCTTGTTGAAACTCTTTGCATTACTTAGAAATGTGACAGCGTGCTGGTCAAGTGCCTCTGATAACAGATGGTTGGACTTTTTACAATCTTTTCTATGTGTAACCTTTAACCCCTGTCACTCATTAGGCTTTACATTAGATACGTAGAATCTACATGTCAGTTCAGTATGAGTAAAACTAGCAGTAACTACACCTACATCCGATTGCTACAAATACATACAAATATGTTGCAAAAACGGTAAAGAATTTGGGTGGGCAGGACACACAGCAGATGTGCAAACACCATTTGTTGTTCTTTCTCTCCCTCGTTTTAGTGGATACAAAATGTTATGATGTTTTCCTTGTGGTACGTCTGTGACAACAGTGCGCTTTCCTCTGCTGCCGGTAGGAAAAACGTGGCCACAGGGAGATCAGACTGCTGGAGAACCTCAACAAAATGGTCCCGGAAGCAAATGAGCAAATGCTGCCGACAGATTTAGAGCGCATGCTGTCTGATGTTGTTAAACGTTGTAAGTCTCCTTAAGTTCACACTTCATAGTAACACACTTTGTAAATTGCGGTACTGTTTCTTTGTATGCTCGACATGACATCTAGTCAGACACTATCATTTCTTTGGAAAAGTTTTGGGGCCAACCTCTTTCCAATAATTATCAGTGATTATTTATAGTTCTGCGTACTGATGGTTAATGACACTAATCGTAAGTCATCGTAAATCATAATTCATCATAACGCAACACACTGTTTCATGTAATTGTGCTTATTTCTGAATGCCTATTATTGTAAAATCACACAAGAAACCAACTTTGACAAAGAATGGAAATAATAACAGATTATTCCACTGTATATATTGTGTTAGATCAAATGAAAATGTCCAAATATTAAGAATATTATTAATTAATTTATTATATTAAGAATATTTCTTTCTTTTCGCCCAAAGTGGAGGCCGCTAATCACATGGCAGAGCAAGTCCAGCAGAGGGAGCTAGAGGCACAGAAGGTAAAAACAACTCAAAGCGAATGACTTCAACCACAGGTGGACACATAATCATATTGTTGGATTGCAGACTGTACGGTCATTTATGATATTGTGAGCTTATTGGATATAAATAGCACATTTACGATGACTGCTAACCGCACGCCTCATCGACACTGTTTATATAATCAGAATATATCGTATCATCATCTGCCTTCTATCATCAGCATCGTCGGGGTACAGTAGTGTGTGAACGCAAGAGGGTGTGACAGGTGAAGTAGTACGAGAGGGAAAAACTGAGACAAACCCCGTTGTTCGCATCTCCTCGTGTCCTTCCAGAGCACCCACCTGCAGGGCAACATGGAGCGTCTGAAGGATGAATGGGCGGAGTTTCTGAAGGAGCAGCAGAGATTAAAAGAGGAGGTGGATGAGGAGCACGCCAGGGCCGTAGGACAACTCAGCGCCCAGTACAGCGAAAAGAAGAAGGACTTGAGCAAGTTTCCCCCCCCTTAATCGGTAGCAATGGTGTGAGGGAACATTCTCCCTTATTCAGCGCGTTTGGTTATGGACGAACGAACCGCTTTGATCTGCAAAGTTTATGGCTGGCATGAAATGTAGGTGCTCTGCACAAGACTCAACCGATGATTTTCCAAATCCTAAAAATGAATGTGTGATGTGACGATGTGGGATTTTACAGGCCATCAAACTTACACGTTTTTGTGTTTGTGGCATCTTCAGAGTAACCCTGAAAAGTCTGGAAAATGTCATTTTTAAACAAGCAATCAGTTGGTGGTTCCTTGGCTGAGAAGTTTTCAACATTTTGTGATTTTAGTTGATGCAGCCTGAAGGTTGCTGATGATAAATTTGCGTCCGCCTCAAGTTGAAAGGAGAACTGAAGTTTGGCACCACGGCGAGATGTTCCAAGCGCGGGAAGCCAGATCCTGAAACGTTAGAAAAGCTCGCCTGAGCCGCCGTGTTTAAAGCACCAGTCAAGTGTTGTAGAAACAAGCTGAAATAAAACACTTTCCAGAACAAGTCATTCCTCACCGGCGCGCTCGTGTTTGGAACATTTCACCTCCGACATTAACTTCAAGTAAACCAACTCTCTATGAAGTAACTTTCATTCTAAAAGGCCTTTGCTGAAACCAACAATGATTGATGTGCGGCAGCTTTTATTTGTTTGCTTTGCCACCTCGAATCTGATTCGAATGAGTCACAAATCCAATATTTGTATTCTGTTTAAACAGAAAGAAAAAAAGAAATCAAATTTTGACTTTCTGCTTTAAATCATTTTCTGGTCATGTTTACATATAAACATATATTTATGTTACATAAAGCCGGCGATGTGGGTCACGTCCCCGTACGAGGACATGAGGTTTTAATGAAGACGATGGTGGATTCTTCGACAGGTTGATGCATTCCTGACATGGCTGAGAACAAAATTCATCTCAGACAAAGTTATGAAGGAAATATTTACATGCCCCCCCACCCCACCTCACCTCCCTTTACAACACCACACTCCCTTAAACTGCATTGACACCTCCGCTGTCGAATGTCTTCTCTGATGCGTCAGGTTTGGATCTCGACTCTCGTATCCCCTTTCATAGAGAGCTGCGGCTTGTTTCCATTCGGTTAGCGACGACCTGCCCCCCCCCCTCCTGCTCTACATGTGTGTGAGTCGGACATGGCTGGCGTCAGAGATCAGAGAGGGTCCAGAACGTGCCAGCAGATGGACGTCTTTGTGTGTGTGTGTGTGTGTGTGTGTGTGTGTGTGTGTGTGTGTGTGTGTGTTCGCGTGCAGGCCTCTCCTCCGGCTTCAGTGTCTGCGGCTTTCCAAGGCTAACGAGGAGCGACAAGACGGAAACGAGCCACCTTTTCGTCTGCCCTGTTTGCTTTTTTGGGGGTTTCGCTGGAAAGAAACGAAACAGTGGGAGCACGTGAAAGGTCACCATTAAATACACGCGAGTGTCGGCTGTTCGCGAGTAGTGAGCACTTGTTGGGCTTGATAAGTGCAGGATTTATACCTTCTGCAATGAGTTTTGGTATAAGTGAAGTCAGATTCAGGAGGATGTTCAGAAATGCTTTGGAAAAGGTTGCAAAACCGATTTGTAATTAAGTCCACACAACTAATAAAAGTGATCTAAAGACAAGTTTCACAATTCCTTCTGCAGGTCAAATCCACAAAATCCGGCAGGTCGTAGTAACCTTCCACCATCTTCAATTGCAGTAGGAGACCACTGCTGTCAATAAACTCATTGGCATTAAGCAATCTGGGATTTAGATGAAGGGGGGGGGGGGGGGTGCCGGTTGAAAAGTGGAAAGTGCCGAAAGTAAAAACGTGCTGTCTTTCATTTCTAGACAGAATCTGGTTCATTTTGATACGCTAAGAGGAAACTGTCAGTCACAGAAACTTGTCGTCTGCGGTGACCAGTAAGACAACTCTGTGTGCAGAAAAGGGTCCGGCTCAAATCTCCTCTCATCCTCCTCCTCGAGGCCTCTGGAAGCGCTTCGGAGTTTCCGTCTGCAGCGTGCATCGGAGAGCAGTGTGCGCTTCCTGTTTTGAAGAGAGGCCGGTGCTCTCGGGGCCACGGAGCTGCCGTTCCCTGTGCCAACACAAGCGGGGAAACGGGGGAGACGACAGCGGCACCCAGCTGGAGCTCCGCCGGGCAACGCACACAGATAAGAGGTGTGTTGCTTGAAGCAATCTGATACCCTTTCTGAAAGAAAAATGAACCTTCCACATCCACTGGAAAAGATGAAATGTGACACGGGGGTAAAATGCGCAGTTCACGTATGTGCATTTTACTGAAAAACAAGTTCTGGTCATTCAACGCCGGTTTGAGAGCGACAGGAAACTTGAGTGACAGTTTTAGTTTGATCAACCCTCAAACTACTCAGCACATTTCCCGACATCTGCTTGTAACTGTCCAAATCTTAACATGTCAATGAAACTGCATTTGACACTAATCACACCCACATGAACTATGTGAGGTGTTCCATTAGGAATATACATAATACACCATCAATGCGATGCACGTGGATCATCATCACGATGACTTTGGTCTCCAAATGTAACATGTTGAATGCACAGCTCTATGACTGCAAACACTGGATACGATGAGCTTAAAGCTTAAATATACAGGTAATTGTCATTGCAGGATCTCTCCACCCTCTGTATATGAACTGGACTCCGTCCATGGTCGTTTCCCGTGAGCTGCTGGAATGATCAGACACAGTGTTTGAGCCCACTCGTGCTGGAGTGATATTTTAGTGTCTATTCACTCTCCTTTACTGCTGTAGTGTTTGGAAATGACTCAAATACCAGCAAAGGTTTAATTTCTTTAAAAAAAACAGCTAAAATACACATGAACTCGCAGGACCGCTAGTTTTGTCGACGCTGACAGCAAACTGGCTCCATCAAACATTTTTCTTTCTGTCGGGATCACCTTTCAATTCAGTCGACCGATGAGAAGAAGCAGATCTAACAAAGGTTTTCACTTTTTTGTGTCGGAACAATGGAGAGCAAGTGGTTGTTCGTTGACCTTCCCGCCAGCTTATGAGAATCTATCTGCCTCCGCGCGCCCCCTCTTTTTCTTTTGTGCTACAGGCCCCTGCTACTCAATTACTAAGGGGTCCAAAATGAAAAATGCCAATGAACAAAAGAACGACGAGTTAATAACGCGGCATAAAACCGCCCCGGGGGTCCGCTGATGGCTCTCGGGTGGATGGTGAAGCAGGTGGCAATATGAATTCTTTGACCACACCAGATTAAGGAATTGATATTTCTCTGAGGGAAAGTTGCGAGGCACGCTGGATAGTGTCAGACTCCGGCGGCTCCAGGAAATGAGTGGCATTTAAAACGAATCACTGGAAAGAAAAGGGAAAATTAAACGCCCCACTTTTCACTGTGACAACAAGCACTGACATGAAGGCCGACACTACAACGCGCCACCTTTTCATTCTGTACAGTGAACACCGCCGGTTTATTAACTAGATTCATCGATCATGTGATCGACACACATTCCATTGTGCAAAAAAAAAAAAAAAAAGGGGCTCACTTCGCTGAACTGAGCGCGTCGTTTTGTGTCTGTTCAGTTTCATCAGACAGCCTCGCTAATACCACGGCAACGTGTTCCTGCCAGGTCCAAGGAACGCAGGTGAGCGTCCAAGAGCAACAAACACCTCCCAGACAGTGACGGGGGACAAACAACGGGCAGAGAGGAGAGCGGCCCGTCATCGGCCTCCACAGCTAAACAAAGCTGCTGTCGTCTGGATTCCTGAGCCAGAGAGGAATGTCTGGCTTCATTGCCGACCACATACCTCCAACGTGACTTTGATTTGCTCTTGAGGTATCGTTCGGATGTTATCTACCGTTGAGTGTTGTGCTTTCAGTGGCTGTAGTTTATTAAAATAGACTTTCGTACAGCGTTCATATAACAGTGAGAATAAATCGTTGTAAGAAAAATCGAAATAAACAACAAAATTCACCAAACAGGATTGTGTAACCTGCGAGAATAAAGTGTGAACCTCACACTGACACATCACCACCCTTTTTATTTGATGAAACTCTGCCTTTATCATTTTCGTTGAGCTCTGTTTTGGTCTCAACACACTGAGGAAAACAAAACATCGAACTGCTGGACCCTCACGAGGAAACTGCAAAAATAATGTTTTGTGTGTTTGTCACGACAGGTGACCCCTTCAACATGCAAGTAGTCATTGTATATATACAGAATATTTTTTTATAGCCACTTTTATTATCAGCTCACTGCACATTCAGTTAGAACAAGCAGCTCAGTCAAATTACTTCCTGCCCGCTCAGTGCAAGCTGGATTTATGGAGCCTTTTCGATCAGTTATTTATTGCTCACTACCCGGATATTCATTTATGGACATAAGTTAAGGAACAGCGAGGAGAAAGGACAATATTTTATAATTGAAAAGGAAATACTTAAAAATCCCAAGTGTGTTGTTCATGAATTCGGTTAATGTCGGTGAATGTAACTTCGTCAGAACTTCAGCCATACCCACACAAATAAATTCAGATCGTTTGGGAAGGTTAAAGAATAAAACTTCACTGAAGTTGGAAGACGTTCTCAAGACTAACACCCTTCTTAGTGTTAGTCCTAAAACTCCACGAAGACAGTGTGAAATGGCTGTAAATAACAGTGAAGGTGGGATTTTTGGATGCCCCTGTACCTCATTATCAATGCTATGCGTAAAAACAGGATTATCCGTGAAAATGTTTCGGATGCTAGACTGAATAATGGAGGAAAAAGATGAGGTTCCACAGTAGCCAACATTTGACAAAGGTAACCAAGCAAAATGATCCTTAAAAAGAAAGACAGTGGAATTTCTCCCCTGTTGTTGTCAGAGCCGGCCCTCCGCTCTCTATGAATGATCTCACGATGAGATATCCAAGGAGCATCCAATATCCCACCTACCTCAGCCCCTAAAACCCAATAAATCATTCGCCTGTTCTTTACAAGCCTGCGTGTGTGCGTGTGTGTGCATGTGTGTGTGTGTGTGTGTGTGTGTGTGTGTGTGTGTGTGTGTGTGTGTGTGTGTGTGTGTGTGTGTGAGGAGGGCGTCCCTGCTGTGGCTCACAGCTTGAAACCACTCTGACTGACAGAACAACGAGGCATGCGGGAGGCAGGGGAACAAGATGCATGCGTGTTTGGTGTGTGTGTGTGTGTGTGTGTGTGTGTGTGTGTGTGTGTGTGTGTGTGTGTGTGTGTGTGTGTGTGTGTGTGTGTGTGTGTGGATGTGATTCCTTTGCAGCGTCCCCGTCTGAGTGCGAGTCAGCCTCTGATCCTGGCTTTCTCCAGGGAGGCCCTGGCTTTTGGCAGAGGAATGCATGGGATTGGGCTCCTCCAATAAAGGCAACTCTCTTTCAGGGGCCCCGGGACGGCCCCCGGGCTTCGCTTTTCAGCGTTTCCCCTCCCGTCTCTGAACCCGAGTGGGTTGCTGCTTCGTTCCGAGCGTAATGGCTTTACCTTCACGCTGCTGCAGAAAGACACAGAGGAAGAGCGAGAGAGAGAGAGAGAGAGAGGATGTCATGACCTCTTGTTAGAGCTCAACATGATTTGGTCTGTCGTCGAGCAGGTAATGCAGAGTCCCAAACACGTAATGTATGTACGAGCCGTCTGGATTTTGAACTGGCTTAAAGAGAGGACAGAAAGTAGAAGATGCATTCAAAGAAAAGCCTTTTAAAACACTATTTTGAACAGAATTTTGAGTTAGATGAGAAAGTCGACAGCCTCATATAAAAGCTACAGCAATTAGCTCAGCTGTTAGCTGGTAGCTTTCATGTGTTGCTTACAGGGGGGGCAGGCAGGCTTTTCCCCCCCTTGCTTCCCATCTCTATGCTAAGCTAAGCTAAAGGACGGCTGAAGTTGTATTGATCTTATCTTCTTTCTCAGCAAGAAAGCCAATAAACACATGTTACCAAAATGTTGAACAGTTTATTTTAAAAGTCACAAAGAACCTCCACTTTCCTTGTTTATGACTTTGCAACGTCTCCTTCAACGATCCGTTGAATACATCGATTCAAACTCCAACCCGTGGCTCCGTGGTGTCGTAGCAGATGTGTGGCCAGAGTACAACTATTCTATCTATTAGCTGTGATAGAAGAGAGTGAGGCGATAGACGGACACAAAAGGAGAGCAGAGGAAAAACACATCTGGATAGAAAACCTAAGAAATGGTGAAAGAAAGATAAAGCAGAAGTCAGACCAAATCAAACGGAGGTCATGATGCAACAGCTGAGGGAGAAAGAAGGGAACAAAGACAGCGAAGAAGGATGTGAAAGCCGTGATGGGAGAGAGAGGGCGACGCAGAGGAGGGAAGACCGGTCCGTGGGCCGCAGATGAAAGCAGGCGGCGAGCAGCAGCTCCGGGCCGATCCTCCCAGCACCTGCTGCCCCGCGGCCAAGGCAAACACTTCATTCCAACGGACAAACTGCTTACCGGCCCTGCGGACGCTCAGATGTGCAGGCTAAACACTGGGCTTCCTTAATAAGCTTGTTTTTTACTCACTGCCCACGCAGGGTGACACAGCCCGGCGGGGCACACGCAACTTGTGCGATCGTTTCATTTGCACATCTGCTTAAGAGCGGAGGGGATCCAGACACCTGTCAGAATCACGTGCTCA